CACACACCCCCACCTCCCCCGACACCTTCCTCCCCCTCCCCACACCCCTCTCACCTGCCCTTGGGTTGGGAGGAGCTGAACTCCAGCCACAGGCCCTACCCAACCCTCCGTCTCCCTTGCCCACAGGCCGCTGCTGGATTTGAGTTTGCCCCTCCAACACTCCCATGCTCCGTCTTCACAAATGCCCTTTCCTATTCAGAAATGCCCTTCAGTTAAATGCAGAGAGCACTTATTGGATACCTACTGTATGCAACATCCTACCTCCCCACCTCTTCTTCTGGGGCCCGCTTTCCGTTCCATCAGATCCCGGGGCTGAGACAGCGCGCCCTGCACTCTAACCCTGTGTCTATGACCTCCAGGGACTCCGGGCTGCCGACAACGACCCCACGGCACCCCCCTATGACTCCCTGCTGGTCTTCGACTACGAGGGGAGCGGCTCCACCGCAGGCTCCGTCAGCTCCCTGAACTCATCCAGTTCCGGGGACCAAGACTACGATTACCTCAACGACTGGGGGCCCAGATTCAAGAAGCTGGCGGACATGTATGGAGGCGGTGAAGAGGATTGATGACCTCGCGTCTTCGCACCGAAGTGAGAGCCACACTCGGACGCCGGAGGAGCAGGACTGAGCGGAGGCGGTCGGTCTTCCCGACTCTCCCTGCGGCCGTGTCCTTAGTGCTGTTAGAAGGCCCCCCACCCCCACGTTGAGCTGTCTAGCATGAGCACCCACCCCACGGCGCCCTGCACACAGCCGCTGCCCAGCACCGCGCCGGCTGGCACTGAAGGACAGCAAGAGGCACTCTGTCTTCACTTGAATTTCCTAGAACAGAAGCACTGTTTTTAAAAAAAAAAAAAAAAAGAAAAGAAAAGAAAAGAAAAAAAAAAGAAAGTGCCTTTTGGTACATGTATCAGATTCCCTCAAACTCAGGAGTGACTAAAGCTGACAGACCGTCCCCACCTTCCTGTCCCGAGCGGCCTCTGACCCCAGCTAGTCCCAGCTCTGAAGGCGTCATTCAGAAATGGGGGAGACTGTGTCTTTCTTTCTTTCTTTCATTTTTATTTTGGTCTTTTATTAAGAAAAAGAAAGTGGGCCGGGCGCGGTGGCTCAAGCCTGTAATTCCAGCACTTTGGGAGGCCAAGGCGGGCGGATCACGAGGTCAGGAGATCGACACCATCCTGGCTACCACGGTGAAACCCCGTCTCTACTAAAAAAATACAAAAAACTAGCCGGGCGAGGTGGCGGGCGCCTGTAGTCCCAGCTACTCGGGAGGCTGAGGCAGGAGAATGGTGTGAACCCAGGAGGCGGAGCTTGCAGTGAGCTGAGATCCGGCCACTGCACTCCAGCCTGGGCGACAGAGCGAGACTCCGTCTCAAAAAAAAAAAAAAAAAAAAAAAAAAAAAAAAGAAAGTGAGTGACTTGTTTGAAAACAGAGTGGGATTCAAATCCCAGCAGCCTTTGCTGTACACAGTTGGCCGGGGGAGGCGCGGGGCGTCTCTTGGGTCTCTTGGGATTCGAGGCCAACTGGGAGGCTTAGCCTTCAGCCCCAGCAGCAGAAAGCCCTGGGGCCGGTGTGGCTCAGACTACCCCCCCCCCCGCCTTGTGACTGCTTCCCACCCTCTCCCGGATGCTGTGAGGAGCTCAGGCTGGGGGCTGGAGGGGAACAGGGGTCATCCTGGGTGTTCCCCATCTCTGCCCCGGCTGCCCCCAGGGCTCCACCCCCAGTCAACCCAGGCCTCCCTCAGGGCCACCTGTCACCCCGAGTGCCACCAGATCCCCTCTGCCTTTGGTCCAGAAGAGTGAGTTTTCCAAACCAGCCAGCGGTCTGGTCACCAGGCTGGCTCCAGCCCTCCAACCTGGTGACCAGACCGCCTGGGGCGCCATCAAAGGCCCCGCAACATGCATTGATTCAAACCGCAGGACACTCTTGACAGCTCCAACCATCGGGGGGCTGTGCAGCTGGCAGGAACCGAGGACCCTCCCTGGCAGTGGGAGAGGTCATGGTGACCAGAACCACACCCAGCAGCCTGCGCAGCCTCCCCGTCCCCAGCCTGTTTGCTTCTGATTCCTGCCAGATGCTTGTGGGCCTGTGTGGGTGGCGGGAGGCCGTCTTGCTGTGTCCACCTGTCGCACGGATGCCTCTGCACACTGCAGACGGTGCCTCCCCTCTCCTATGGGCCCACTTCGGGGGCAGGCAGCAGCGGGTCCGGCCTTGCTGCTGTCCTCGAGGTTGGCACTGCTATCTCCAGGGCTGGGTTGACTGAAGCCAAACAGGGGGAAGGAATCAGTCCTGCAAGACAGTAAGAGGGGCTGTGCCCAGGGACCCCCGGGAGAGCGCTCGGCTGCCTGTGTTCACTGCATGAGAAAACTCGGAGGCTGCATTCTCCCTCTGGCATGGCTGTGTCTGGGCGCCTCGGGCTGGGGCAGGAGGCAGGCCCCATGTAGGGAAGCCTCGTGCTTGTCAGCTTTCTGTCTCTCCCAGGCCAGTGACAACTGGCTTCCCAAGGAAGGAGGTGCCAGGGGTCCTGGGCAGGACCTGGTGTCGGGCAGGGCAGTGCCAGCACTGGGGAAGGACCAGGAGCCCTCCCGGAGCCCCGCCCTGCACCTGCCGCTGGGGTCAGAGGGTGTCTCGGGGTGCCTGTGGGGGCAGCATGCGCTCCACCGGGGACCTGGGCCCCCCTCAGCCTGTGGCTCTTCCCCATGGCTAAGGTCACGCCTTTTCTGAACAGCTTTGGCCTTGAGTGCACACATCTGTGCCAGGCTCACAGCACATTCCCGTTGGACGTCAGGGTCCTTACCCAAACCAAACTCACAGTCACCCCTGCGCAGCCTTCAGAGTCAAGCTGGGGTCCCAGTCTCCAGCTCTGTCCGTTCCGACCCTCCCATGGCTGCCCAGGGAGGGCGGAGTTCACTGTGCCACGTGCTGGGTGCCCCCCTCTGCAGACAGCCAGTCCAGGAGATGGACCAACAGAAGTCAAGGGGCAGCCGGCTGGGCTGCACCGGGGTCCCCCAGCTCTGAGCTGTGCTATGCAAACAAGAATGCTGCTGAGGGTGTGGGGCCGTTGGAGGGACGGCTGGGCGGCCAGTGGAAGGACTGGAAGTCTCTGCTGTTTGGGGAGGTCTGGCCTCCAGTCCTGAGGAGTGTGTGCGGATTGTTCTAAGTGTGACTATGACCCGGGAGCCAGGGCAGCATGAACTCCTTTCTCTGAAATTTTGAGGCCTCCTTGGGTTCCCTGAACCCTGGGCTGGCGTTCCCAGGACCCAGCACCAGGAGACCCCAGTCCCGCCAGCACCGCCGTGCTACCCGGGAGGGCTGGGCGATGTTGGTGCTGCCTCCCACCAGCTCCCCTCCTCTCCCACCGCCTCTTGTCACTGCCAAGCCCCCCGTTCATTTTGCCCAAATCACGCAGGCTGAAGCTGCAGTGCCAGCTGGAGGGACATTCGCAGGGCTTCCCGTGCCCATCCCTGCTTCCAGACAGCTGGACAGCCTCCCCTTTACCCCCACCCCGGTGAGCCCCTGGGGGCCAGAGAAAGATGGGGTTCCCGCAGCTTCCCAGCTCCACCTCTGAACTTGAGTTAGCATTAGCTAAGCATACAATCAGTGTCCAACGTCTCTCTTCCTTAGCTTGTAGATACGACTGTCTGTAACCAGGGGACCCCTGCTGGAAGCCGGGAGGCCAATGCTGGCTGGGTGCGAGGGCATGGTTTGGTTCCTTTAGGGAATTTTTGTTCTGCAAACAGGAGAAACCTGTGCTGCAGGTGGGAGTGGCAGGAGCGACTGGCCTTGGTCAGCAGGCAGGCCCCAGCCCAGGACCACAGTGCTCTTCAGGGCCTGGGCAGCCCCCGTTTCTGGCCCAGCAGGTTTCTCTTTCTAGTGTCTTTCAGCACATCCAAAATGCTAGGCCTCCCGCCACCAACGTGTCAGAGCAATGTCCAACTGTCAGGCGCTCAGAGATGCCTCAGTTTCCCTCCAGTCCACTGAGATGAGAATTCTGTTCTCTCCAAAGCAAAAAGCCGGGCGAGGGGAAGTTTCAATTTCTGTCAGTGCTCAAAGGAATAACACCAAAAGAATCAACACGAAATCTCCCAGACACACGTGACCCAGCTCACGGCGCCGTGGGTCCGTAGGAGGGACAGCACCTCGCAACAGGCCCAGCGGGGGACCACCTCTCTGTACAATTGGAACGTGTTTTACTTTTCTTTTCTCTCCTTTTTTCATTCTGATTTTTTTTTTTTTTTTTGCATGTTTCTTTTTGAAAATGGACAAAATGTGCAGCAGCCCGCATGACCACAGTTGTTTTGGGGAAAGATACTGAAGTATGATGTACTCACACCTGCAAATCTGAGCATCACGACGTTAGACAAACGTTCCACCTTTTTTTGTAATCGTCAACAGCACAACTATTTTGTATCGTTGTTTGTATCATTTTGTACCAAAAAAAAAAAAGGAAAAAAAAAAGGGAAGCGAGTTGATGTTTTCAGTGTGTTTCTAGTGCCAGACAGTCTTGATCCCGAACTGAGTGGACTCTTTCGGAGCGGCTGTGCGCCGGCAGGCGGGGCGGGGTGGACCCTTGCGGAGCGGCTGTGCGCGGGCAGGCGGGGCGCGCTGCTCCAGAGACTGAATAAAGTCCCCCTTTTTCGTAGTCGGCCTCGCCCTGGCTTAATTTTCTTCCAAGCATTCGAGAAACAGATGGTGCTCCGGGACGGCAGGTGGGTGCACACGGGGAAGGTGGTGGCCACTATGAGATCCATCCATGCCGAACACACTCCTTGAGCACCTGTGCAGCTCGAGGCGCTGTCCTAGGCTACGGGAAAATGAAGAACAAAGGCAGGCCCGCTCCTCACACCTGTGGGGCCACATGCCATCTGTCTCAATGTTTTAAAGGGTTTAGAAGGTATCCATGACGCTAACAAGCAAAATCACATTCCCCTCCTACCTTGGCATATACACCCGCCGGACTCCATGGAATGCCCGGACCAATTTGGAATTCTCAGACTCCTTGGAGTTTGGTGCCATAAGTGACAGCAAGGAAGGAGCTGGCCTGGGCCTGTGGCTCTTCCCACCTTCCTCTCTTCCCACCTCCCTCTCTTCCTAACTCCACCTTTGCTCAGTGCCCCAGGGGACCTGCGTGTAGGCATGTGGATGCCCCAGCCAGCATGTTCCGGCTTCACCTAAGCCCCCCACAAACAGTATCCCTTGGGCCTCGGGATAGGTCCACCTGGTGAAAATGTTCCTGCAGAAGAGGCCTGAGCAGGCCACGGAGGGGGCTCAAGGCACTTTCTGAGGAGTTTCAGGGTCCTGGTGCCCAGAGGTGTCTGGAGGGGCAAGCACAGGGCCCCCAGCCCTGTAGACTCCTCCCCCTGTGGTGGGGGCACAGTATAACGGGCTGAAGTGCCGACACACAGAGACGCATGTGCACACATGTATATGCTTGCACACACATGAGCACACATGCACACCCACATGGACATGCATATGCATGCAATGGACGTGTGCACACACACATTCATTCACATACGTGCAAACACAGGCAGCACGCATGCAGCACATGCACAGAGATAGGCCTCTGGCCACTGACATGTTTGGGTGCAAACCCTCCGCAGCCACAGCCGACATCAGCAGATAAAACCACCAAGCCCCGGAGCCCCTTTCACGGATGCCAGATGCTGCGTGCATCCCTCCCTCCCCTCCTCACTTCCCCAGCCTCAGGTGGAGGCTCCCCTGCAGTGGTAAGACCAGCTGGGCCTCTGAAGGTGCCTCTCCCGCCCTCTGCCCTCCGTGCCTCCTGTCCTCTGCACGCTTCCTGCTTCCCTCTTTCCTGTCATTGCCTTATCCCAGGCAG